CTATGACGTGAATAGAACTAGAGGGTATTATGCTGAGCGAAATAAGTCAATCAGAGAAAGACAATTATCATATGATCTCTCTGGTATGAGGAATCTGAGAGGCAGAGTGGAGAGTCTGGGGGGTAGGGAAGGAAAAAAATGAAACAAGATGGGATCGGGAGGGAGACAAACTATAAGAGACTCTTAATCTTACAAAACAGACTGAGGGTTGCTGGGGGGAGGTGGTGGTGGAGAGGGTGGTTGGGTTATGTACATTGGGGAGGGTATGTGATATAGTGAGTACTGTGAAGTGTGTAAGCCTGATGTTTCACAGACCTGTACCCCGGAGGAAAATAATACATTATATGTTAATAAAAATAATTAATAAAAAAAGAAAGAGCATTTTACATCAGAAAAAAAACAATGCCAAGTTGCTATCTTAAGATTTACCTCTCAGTGATACTCAACTTCTTTTTCCTAGTCAATCACTGAGCAATGAAATAGAAATTAAAATAAGGACAATATATTTATATATTTAGCTCTAATCTGTAATATAACATTACTATAAATTCTCTTTAAATTGTGTATCTAGAAACACTAATACATTTTTAAAATATGGTAAATTTTATATAAACTAATGTAAATCATAAAATTATTAAATCTGTGCACTTACAAATTTAAGTGCTTATAACTAGAATTTAAATTTTTATTTAAAAAGTAAAATTTTTACTTAGAGTATTTATTTGGAAGTGTATAAGCACAGACAAAAAAATAAAAATAAAGAGCGAGGCTAAAGCCAGAAACCAATCAGTTGAAAAGGTAAAACGTGCTTTTTGTTTTAAAATATTGCAAATAAAATATATGCCAAGATATACAAAATTTGTTATAAAATCTTTTATTACATGCTTCTGGAAATAAATAAACAAAACTTTTAAAAGAATGTAGCAATTTTCCTTCTTTCTTGCCAATACTTTCCACCTTTAACACATAATTGTGTCAATTATTACTTTGTCACCATGATTAAACTATAAACTACTATACTGAAGTTACTAAAAATGAGAATTCAAATTTTTTGAAGTCATAAGATAAATACATTGAAAGGAAAACTACTAGAATTTCAAAAAACAAAATAAAACCTTCGTTTTGCCTTTAAAAGGAGGCCAGGATTGTCTTTAGAAAGAAAATTTGTGTTTGAATAACAGTAAAGTCATAAAACAGATGATAAGGACATAGTAAATGAGAATTGGTTAACTCCTGATTTAAACATTGTGAAAAAAATGTTTAGTTAACTGTGGAATTAGAGTGTTACTCATTTACTTCCATATAATCGAGTATCTTTAGTAATGAAAGTTAGATGGAAGCCTTTTACTTTCTAGCTAAATGGCAGGTTATAAAGAAACTGAATTCCTTCTGACTTTCTTGGAAAGAAAAAAGAAGGCTACATCATAAAGGTGGGGGGAAGAGTCATAATATTTTATAATAGGATGCAAGAGACTGCAAACAGAAGAAAATATAAGCAAAACCCAGCAAGACTGTTTTGCCTCCTTCAATCATGGGGAACACAACCCTATCAATCACTTGTCATATTGGATCACAATAGTAGTGGTCGATTTTATGGCTTAGATTTCCCCCAATATCACACACTAATCTCCCCATAATACCATTTAATTGTTCTAAGCTGAGGGCCAGAAGCTTTCATTTCTTTTCCAAAGTACTGTAGTTATTTCATTTTCTGGTCACCAGAATCTGCAGTATGCACCGGCTTGATATATCTTATCATGACAGGAAGACTTATCATTAGTAAAATGGGCAAAACAATCTTTTCTGCACTTAATGTAGGTTATCTTTTTATTTGTATTAGAAGCATTAACACATAAATACAAAATTAGTACTGAGCCATGAAGCTTGTCAAAATGGTTTTTTACGTTTTCAGAATTAATTCTGTACAGTTTTGCTTAGTTTAGGCATAAAAGCTATTTAGAATCCCATTCATGCCAGAAGACTGATTTTTTAAAAGGTAGATTTATTTTTCTATTTTAAAGACTGCATTTATTCATTTTAAAATATTTTACACAAAGGCTGTTAAGTTTGGAATTCAGAACTTCCTTTTTCCTTTTTTTTCTGGTTAATGTAATTCTTCTTGCCTCTTCCCCCAGTTATCAGAGAAGCATTTGGATAATTCATAATAACCTATACAATTACAACAGTGCCTACTGGACAAAAATTGTCTCATTAAAAAGAAAAGTGAATAAAATTAATGTTACCACCATGTAGCTTTTAAAAATCAGACTTTCAGAATTCCTGTTGGTGATGTTTTCATCACTAAAAACTAAACTAAGAAAAAAATCAAGGTATCATTTATGCCTCATTTAATATATGAGAAATCCTGTCCACTTAAAATAATGCACACTAGAATACCCAATCATTGATATGTGCTATAGAAATGGTCACCTGAAGAGAAAGGATATCTTTAAAAAAGCTCATATTCAGATTGCAGCTTAATATTCTTATTCTACTTTAAAAAGACTGTACTACCTTTTTCAATGATGGAGTTTTAGTTTTAAAAGGCTTGGAAAGAAACATGAAGAAATATTCTAAGTATTCCTTGATCATATAAAACCAGCCCATTTCAAAGATGGATACATTTTGTGCCTGTAAACTCTATGCTCTGACATTTTTTTTGATTATTCATTTTCTAGAAATCCTTGGACTTGTAATTCAAACTTTTAAAAAACAAACCAGTAATAAAACTGAATGTAACTGCCCAGACAACACATGCAGCAGCACCAGGGAAACACAAAGCACAAGTTTTCCCTTGGAGATGTTTTAATTCACATTCTCTTTAATACTGAATTTGTCATCTTTCCACAAACACATTATTATTCAAGGGATTTTTCCACAGCTATTTTTTTCTTTTGGAGAAAACATATATGATTAATTCATATAAAACAAATCTAAGTTTGAACTGCTGCTTCAATTCGCAAATTATTCTAAATGATCAGGATAGGAAGGTAGAACATTCTAGAGAGTGAGGCCAAAACATCAAACCAGAGGGCTCTTTGTACCCTAAAAATGTAAATGGACATATATCTTCTGTTAACTTAGCCAGGGACTATTTCCACTTGCTTATTATATAGAATGATTTGACAGTATACATAAGGAGAGACAGAAAAGGTCAACAGTTTAAAAATGACAGATTACTGGTGGGACCAGTCAATAAACTGTTACTCAGATAAAGAATGTAAAAGTAGAAAAAGCAATTAAAAATTGAAAGCTGGTAAGAAAAAATTGGAGAAATAAATAATCAGGATGAAACTGGGATACACTGGTGGGGAAAAAAACCTTACACTGGGAAGCTAGTAAGTACCTGACAATATACTCGAAGTTTTACATATGTTCTTTCATTTAATCCTTACAATAAGAAATGAAGTACTAGTCACATAAAAACTGAGGCTCAAAGAAGTGGCTCTCTCAAGGCCACAAAGACAGTAAGTGACAGACCTTGTATTCCAACCCAGATCTGATTTCAAAGTTTAACTACCCTATACTGTCTCTAGCTAGCTCCCATTTTTCAGGGGGTAAAGGAAGCAAATAAAGTATAAAATATCTTTCAGGGTTAAATAAAATAGAATTTTTTACAATTCTAGTGAGAACTCCTGTGAAATGAAATAGCTCTGCTGTCTTTTGCTCCCTACCGACCTCTGAATAATGCTCTGAGAGTAGGCCAAAAGTGAAAAGCAAGCAGCTAGAAAATGTATCATGACAAAAAGGAGCCAATATTAGATGCATTTTATCCCATTCTCAGAGAGTGTAGAATGAGCAGACAAATTAAAGCAAATTCAGGTTTGAATAGGTAACACAGTGACGTGGTTCAAAAATCAAAATAATACTAAATACCAAAATACCAAAAATGGTCTTATCCTTATCCTTGACTCCACCTATCTCATTCTCCTTCTCCCATCAAGGTCACCACTTTTATTTAGTTCCATGTGCAGTCTTCTAGAATTTCTTTATACAATTATTAATGTGCTTATTTCTCCCCTTTATTATACATACTGTAGACAAGGATTTGTACCTTGCTTTTCTCACTAACATTATGACAAATTTAACAATAAATTGCATAAAGGCCCTTTAGGGAATGGAATGATTTTAAAATCTGACCAAATCTATACTGACAAGTAGCATTGTTCTAGTAATAAAATTGTACAGAATAGTATTAAATTACAGGCTTCAAAATACAAAAAGTTAATTTCTTTTAACCCCAAGTCATCATTTCACCTATCTAGCATTCAGCTATTAACCATTTGGGAATTACTGAGTATTTTGTAATATAATGGCTTTTCTCTTTCTTGTATATTTCCTCAAGTAACAAACATGTATAAGCAAATTTTTGCCTTAGTCAAAACCTTTTTCTTTGGGCCTAGAAGTTAGCATTACTGTTGTAAGAGAATTTTCTAAACATAGTCTCAAATCCTAAAAAGTCTTTGAATGCTGAACCTGAAGTGTGAAGATACCGCGGAATGTAGAGGAACCAGAGAACAGAAAAGTAGTAATTTATTGCAGCGAGTCCAATTTTAGAAACTCAAACTATTTAAAAGGTAGAAAAACGTCTGACCAAACACTTGATTCTTTTGATGTGTAACAAATCATACTGCAGGACACTTTTAAAAATAATAGAGTGATACAAAGTTAAACAATGATAACTTTGTTAACTCTAAAGAACACTGGGATTAGGGACCTAAATGAAAACAATTATAGCTACTAGTGCTGAGAATAAAGGTCAAAATCGGAAAAACTGAACAGATAAGCAATTAATAGCTGGCATTAATGGACAATGAGCAAAATAAATGGTCATAGGCTAGTAGTCATAGTGACAGCTTTGTCAGTAATGACACAGCTTCCAAGTACCCTGGCCTCTTGTTATTATCAATACCAGGGAGCCAAAGTATTTGTCATAATACTGAATAAACTATAAAACAATGCTTTTAGAATTGAAAAGTTCAAAGCAAACTCTCACTTACCTTCCCTGTTAGAACTGAGGGAAATTCAGTATCAAACTTGTTGCTCAAGCCAAACCTTAAAAACAAAGAACAAAATATATTCTACCCAGCATATTTAACTCTTTACCCCCTCCCTTTTTAACTAGCAAAGGCTTGCATTTTTTGTTTGATGTTGTGATTTAAAAATGTGTCCTAAAAATAATGTTATGGTATTTATAGAAAACAAATCTTTGACTATTAATCTGAATTAATAGTAAAAAAAACCTATGGTGCAAATGTTAAAGTAGTATTCTAATTACATCCATGCATGATATGGGATTAAATAATAACAAATAAGAGCTGGAAATAAGATTTTTGACTGAAATATTTCTGTTAAAACCCATTTTAGTTGGTAACTTTTAAAACTGGCTGATTGGTAGTATGTAGGAGTGGATAATCCTATTCTTTCTACTTTTATGCATATATGAAAATTTTCCTAATAAAGACTAATGTAACCTTTGGAGCTGTAGCTCAAAAACTTATGATCAGTTAGTATTCAGATACTCAAAGGTTGATCTTTATGAATGGCTTTCACGTATATGCTCAACTTGTTTTCAGAAAACAGGTCTCAGCCTTGAAAGCTCTGACTCAAGTAAGCTCAATGAAATCTGTTTTCAGAAGTCAAGATGAATTTTATGAGCCTTCAATCACCGACTTGTTGGTTTCAGTAGGGATAACAAAGGTCACTTTCTGCATATCATCCTGTATACCATCCTCAGATGATATACCATAGTAACTATAATTTTATAGTGTAGTATAGTATAGTATAGTAGATGATGGGTTTTAAGTAAAAATTAAAAAAAAACACAGGAATATTTATTGAGAATTCTTGGTGAGGTAGGCAATAACAGTAACAATTTGCCATGGGTTAGACACTGCGCTAGATAAATATGTTACTTCTGAAGTTTACAACCCTGAAAGACTAGTACTGTCATCGCCCTCTTAAAGACAAGGAAGCTGACACTCAGAAAATTTTTTTTTCAAAAAGTAACTAAAAGACTTGCACAAAGTCATATATCTAGTAAGGTGGGGAGGACCAAAATTCAAATGCTGATCCCTAAGTTCTTTCTGTCCTGTACTCAGCTTTTTGCAAGCAGAAACTATGACTTATTTATCTTTTTGCTTAGTAGCATAAAGTAATCTAGTAGGTATTTAATAAAAGTTTGTTTAATAATAAGCTACAATACTGTTTGATTCAACTGATTTATGGCCCTTTAGTCTTACGGTCACATTAAAGACATGTAAGAATCCAAATGTCTTATTAAAACTATGTGGGAATACCATATTCTCCTTGTATCATTTATGCTAATAGCTCCTTTTCTGGAACACAAGCACATCTTAAACACAAAAATTCTCTATACTTAGCAGCTAGTAGCAAGGTACACATCTGTGTGTGTGTGTGTGTGTGTGTGTGTGTATACTCTTGTGTATTTAAAATGTATTTTAAAACAACAAATTCTATGTTTTAAGATATTTGGGACAATTAATTAGCAACCATAAAAAGATCTTAACTTCATTTAAAAATAGTTAATTACTTCTCTAGGTATCAGTATATGTAATGAGAACATAATAATGTTCTCATAATAATGTTTCCTTTAAGTCTATACCTGAACACAGGATACAGCCAAACTGGAAAATAAGATAGTATAGGGGCACCTGGGTGGCTCAGTGGATTAAGCCTCTGTCTTCGGCTCAGGTCATGATCTCAGGGTGCTGGGATCGAGCCCCACATCGGGCTTTCTGCTCAGCAGGGAGCCTGCTTTCCCCCCTCTCTCTGCCTGCCTCTCTGCCTACTTGTGATCTCTATAAAATAAATAAATAAAATCTTCAAAAAAAATAAGATAGTATACCCCTGTACATGAATTTTTATGGCAAATTTCATGTGCTCTTTGAGAAACTGACACTCCAGTATTAAATATATATTTGCAACTATGTACTAACTCAGCATTCAATAACATGACCAATATATAAGAGAGCAAGAAACATCCTTCATTTCAGTTATATGTAGCTAAATAGTGACCTCATCACTATCTAAAAGGTAGAAAAACGTCTGACCAAACGTTTGATTCTTTTGATGTGTGAAAGATGATCTCAAAAAGATATAATTTAATTCATTATTCCACAAAGAGTAAATTCTTATTGTGTAACACAGTAACAGATAATAGGTTTCATTTTTAAAAGGAGACATTATACACTTTAAAGTAGAGCTCTATTTCCATATCTTGTCTAAATGCCTTTTGGATGCAATGTCAATAACATGTTCTTGATTTAGAGTCTGGGAAGATGGCAGAGTAGGAGGATTCCCAAGTCCACCTCATTCCACAGATACACCCTAGATAACAGCCATATCAGTGCAATGAACACAGAAAACCACCCAAAGACTGCACAGCAGACTTTCCAGTTAACTGAAGAGAATAAGTCACACAAAGGGTAGGAAGTGTAGAAACATGGTCAGGACTCAAGCTCCTGGTGACACTAACCACAAATGGAAGGGACATCACAAGCACTGAGAAGGGAGAGGAGCAGACCCCCCCAGCAACCACCCCCCACCAGGAACCTGGACTTGGAAGACAAGTCCCCATAATATTTGGCTTTGAAATGCAGTAAGGCTTAACTCTGGGTATTTAAAAATCAGCAGGCTTATGGGGCACCTGGGTGGCTCAGTCTGTTCAGTATCCAACTCTTGATTTCAGCTTAGGTCATGATCTCAGGGTTGTAAGACTGAGTCCCACATTGGGCTCCATGCTCAGCATGGAACCTGCTTAAGATTCTCTCTCTCCCTCTGCCCCTCCCCTTGCGCATGCGTGTGTGCTCTCTCTCTCTCTCTTAAAAAAATAAATTAAAAAAAATCAGCAGTCTTAGCTCTTGGAGAGCGAGAGAGCAACAGGAAACTAAGCCCTTAAAGAGACAGCCTAACAACAACACTGCTGAGATAAAAACATTGAAACAGAAATTTAAAAAGGATCTGGGTATACAGAAAGGAGATCTATTTACTAATCTCAGAATGTGTGCTGGAGGGGCAGGGATCTTTAGGAGACTTCTTCAAGAACAAAAGAGCTGGTGGGTGCCAACCCCACCTCCATCCTATCCCCAGCCTAGATACCAGGACACCTGCAGGAATCAGGGAGAACACTCTCCACCTACCTTGCTAACACCACACACTCTGCTTCTGTGTTCTCCTGTGGATCTACCCCATCCAACCTACCCCACTAGGCACGCATCCGTCCAAAGCAGCTCCTGGCACATTTTATCCTGCAAGCAGCCCTGGCAAGGACCAGCACCACTCCAAAATGACTCCTGCCTGAGGAGAGGGGAAGATAAACCACATACTAGTTCAACTGTAGCCCCAGCTTTGCTATTCTCTTTGCATTTACCACTGAGCAAGTGAACTTTCTTGTTTCCATTTCCTTAATATTTCCTCCTTTCTTAACTGTTTATAATTTCCCTTATAATGCTGTCACTTTACTGAAAATAATCTCTCACTGAGTAAATTTATTCAGAAAGACAAGTTCATCATGTCTTATTTATTGCCAATTACATATTCTCTTCCTAGAACATTTTCCCTTTACTTTGCAGCTTTGTCGCACTGTTTGGTCACTCCCTAACACTCTCCTATCCTTCTACTCTCCTCTAACATTCTTGCCTTTTCCAAAAATTTGGCTTTTAGTCATCTGCTTGTCTTTCTAAGTGAACTTTAACAGTCCCTCTATGTTTCGTAGCTTTGATAACCCTTCTATGCTGATTACCACCAAATCTGTATCTCTAGTTCTGCATTTTCCAATATTCTTTGATCTCTAATTGCATACTAAAAATTTCTATTTCAATATCTTACCAAAAACAATACTATCTCAAGTAAAACATGTCTAAAATTAAATGTTATCTCTTTATTGGAAACAAGGCCCCCCCTTTCAAATTTTTCGTATCTATCAACGACACATTGAATTCTCTTTAACCTAGACCTTGGTATTGGTTTTGCACCTTCCCTCCCTTATTTTTTGCACCTTGCTTGCTCTGAGGTGGCACCAAATCCTGATATTTGTTCCTTTGAAATCATTCTCATAATGATTCCTTCCCTTCCACTACAAGAGCCATATTGGCTATTGTCTTTGCTCAGGTGGTTCCTCTTGCTTCCCTTCCCTAGTTTAAATCCTATGCAATCTTCAAGGCTCAAGTCAAGTCCCAACCCCTGCTGTAATACCTTCAATGTTCAAGCTTTTATGGATTTCCTTTTTCTCTGAATGCTCACAGCGGTTTCTAATCTGTACTATATAATTTGATAGCTAATAAAATATTTCCCATTATTCTTTGCTGCTCTATTGCTATAGAGATATCTTGAAAGCAATTTTCCTGTTAGTTTTATAAAGCAAGGTTTATACTTCACTTTTCTCCTGTATTTTTCATAGTGCATACACCAGTGCTCAAGTTCTCAATATATACTTGCTATATTCACATTACCAATATTCTACTTTAATATAAAAAGGGACTGTCTTTTCTAAAATATAAAAAGTATATTAAATATGGTAAGGAAAGTGTCATTTTACTTTTTAAAATACTCCTTTAACATGTGTATGTATGTGTATGCATACACACACACACACACACACACATATATATTTTCAAAAGGTATAAATATAGGCAAACTAGGCTTGATATACTCTCAGAATTTTAGCTAAAAGGCAGTAACAATCCGATTCTTGCCTACCAGAGATTTATCTTTTTTTCATTAGAAACTCAGCACTTAAAAAAAATACTTAACTCAGATAACCTTGGGCATACATTTCACTTTATAGCTACTAGGAAAATGTTGAAATGGCTGCTGCTGAATAAACACCTCAGCTCTGTTTCATAAACAAACTATTAAGAACTGTGAGTCCACAGAGGTTAGACAAGATCAACTACCCATTATTGATTAGTGATAGGCATTAGCCAAGATGTGGGGATTTTCCAGCATTAGATAAATGAGCACTTGGGAACTTCTCACACTGTCCATTTTATCAACTTCATTAAATATAGAGCCTATTCTGTGTTTGAAGCTGT